TGACCCTATTGAAAGGGCTAAAAATGATTCTGGAATACAAGATGTTATCAATTACAATCAAACTTATATAAAATTATTTAATTTTTTATTTAAGAGATTTGTGTCAAATTATTGTCGGGAATTTGTTTCAGAAGCAATATAATCATTCGATCATTAAATTTAATATTCCGTTATAATAAATTTTAGTATAGATTAAAATTCGAAGTAAGAAAACAAACATTATTTACAAATGTAAATGAAATGAAAATTTCGAAACAAATTTATCTCCGAATTTATGGTTATTTGTGGACTAAGTATGATTCTTATTGAGATATTACATAATACCGATGTTTTTGAGATTCAAAATTGTTTGCCAATACTATAGGCTAGACTATAGACTAGACTATAGACTAGACTATAGACTAGACTATAGACTAGACTATAGACTAGACTATAGACTAGACTATAGACTAGACTATAGACTAGACTATAGACTAGACTATAGACTAGACTACAGACTAGACTATAGACTAGACTATAGACTAGACTATAGACTAGACTATAGACTAGACTATAGACTAGACTATAGACTAGACTATAGACTAGACTATAGACTAGACTATAGACTAGACTATAGACTAGACATAGACTAGACTATAGACTAGACTATAGACTAGACTATAGACTAGACTATAGACTAGACTATAGACTAGACTATAGACTAGACTATAGACTAGACTATAGACTAGACTATAGACTAGACTATAGACTAGACTATAGACTAGACTAGACTAGACTAGACTATAGACTAGACTATAGACTAGACTATAGACTAGACTATAGACTAGACTAGACTATATACTAGACCATATACTAGACTATAGACTGGACTATAGACTGGACTATAGACTAGACAACATACTAAACTATAGACTAGAAATATATTAGCCCACGCAATGCCTTCTAAGGGTCAACAAGTCATAGAGAACGTGAGCTACGTGATCGGTAGGAGTGTAGTTATCAAGGGGCTGGCATTGTAACAATGTGTTTGAACCTCGAGAACTTATCCATATGGGGACTATTAAAGAAGAGATATCAACATCAATATCGAAGGAAAAGCAATGATGTTTTAAATTTCTGGAATATATTGTTGCATTTCAGTTGAATCCTTTTTTCAAATATTGAAGATCATTTTTCAAATAAGATTTTAAGCTTTTAAGATCATCGAACAAATAAATACCTTCAATAAAAATGTTATGCCAATTTTGTGCCAACAATTAGAGAAAAATAGTTTAGAACTTTTAAACACAATAAATTGCATTTAATATTTTTCCCCCATCGTACAGGGATATGATTTATAGAAATTTTCAATAATAATAATAATAACGATCAACAATGATCATAAAAGGTTTATTTTTTCGGGCAACGCAGTTTAATGACATCTTTAATATGCAAAGGGTGTCAAAGTCATAAAGAAATATTTTACTGATGATGATTCTCTGTTGCGAACCATATAAATTATTTAATTTATAAAGAAAAATGATTTAATGCAATAAAATTTTAATTCAATTTGTTAAAAAAATGCAATCAATATCAAATATTTTTTATTATAACAAAAACAAAATACGGGTTCGATTGTTTGTTATTTGCTTTTCAAATTTTACATTTATATGCAATAGCAACAACAACAACAATAACAACAAACATAAAATAAATACATTGAAGTAGCAGTGGCATGACTCAGATCCCCTTAAACCCGATTTGGCATGAAAATTGTTTGATACAAGTAAATGTAAAGAAAATATTTATTATTTTTATTTTTTTTTTTGAACAAAAAAAAATGTACGGAACGGAATTGTTGCAATCAACAACATTCATTCACACTGGTTTACAAAATAAAAATAGAAATATATACAACTTTACACCACAAGTCCATCCGTCAGTTAGTCAATACATATTTATTTGTCGTTATGTTGAAGTTTTATTGACTTGATTATTTATTTGTTTGTCTGTTTGTTGTTCTTGTTTGTTGGTGAAGTTTTCTTGCCACAACAGGTACATATCTACAACTGCTATTACCAATCGGTATAATAATAATAACAATTTAAATCCTAAACTCGGCTTTTTCATAATTTTATTGTTGTTTTTGTCATCGTCATGCGTAATTTGGCTTGAGAAGTCTCAACTTAAAACTTCGTTTGTTTATCAATGAAATCAAATTGTTTATTTATTTGCTGGTATTTGTCTGAATCGTTAAATTTTCAAACACACTTACACTCATATACATTTTGTCTATGATCGACTGTTTGCTGGTTGCTATGATTTGATCGCTTGGGGTCTGAATGAGAGACCTTAGTGCGTTTAAATAAGCGTGCATAGATTTATTTATGGAGGCTATTTATTTGTTGGTACAACGAGTATTATTATGATTTTGTTGTATAGAAAAATTACACAAAAAATACATACTTGACGTAGTCAATATGTAGTTTCTTTGGCCAAAAGTACCCATCAACACATTCACACACATAAATTCATAGAAATATAGAGAAGAAACGATAAAAAATGTCGTTAAATTATTCAAAATAAAAGCTTTAACTAATTGATATCTTAACACTCAAGGAAATGTTGTTAGTAAAATTTTCTTGGCAAAAAAGCTTTTAAGTTCGGTTTACAGTGCCAAATTAAACTAACTAACTGACTAACTAACTAACTAACTAACTAACTAACTAACTAACTAACTAACTAACTAACTAACTAACTAACTAACTAACTAACTAACTAACTAACTAACTAACTAACTAACTAACTAACTAACTAACTAACTAACTAACTAACTAACTAACTAACTAACTAACTAACTACTAACTAACTAACTAACTAACTAACTAACTAACTAACTAACTAACTAACTAACTAACTAACTAACTAACTAACTAACTAACTAACTAACTAACTAACTAACTAACTAACTAACTAACTAACTAACTAACTAACTAACTAACTAACTAACTAACTAACTAACTAACTAACTAACTAACTAACTAACTAACTAACTAACTACTAACTAACTAACTAACTAACTAACTAACTAACTAACTAACTAACTAACTAACTAACTAACTAACTAACTAACTAACTAACTAACTAACTAACTAACTAACTAACTAACTAACTAACTAACTAACTAACTAACTACTAACTAACTAACTAACTAACTAACTAACTAACTAACTAACTAACTAACTAACTAACTAACTAACTAACTAACTACTAACTAACTAACTAACTAACTAACTAACTAACTAACTAACTAACTACTAACTAACTAACTAACTAACTAACTAACTAACTAACTAACTAACTACTAACTAACTAACTAACTAACTAACTAACTAACTAACTAACTAACTAACTAACTAACTAACTAACTAACTAACTAACTAACTAACTAACTAACTAACTAACTAACTACTAACTAACTAACTAACTAACTAACTAACTAACTAACTAACTAACTAACTAACTAACTAACTAACTAACTAACTAACTAACTAACTAACTAACTAACTAACTAACTAACTAACTAACTAACTAACTAACTAACTAACTAACTAACTAACTAACTAACTAACTAACTAACTAACTAACTAACTAACTAACTAACTAACTAACTAACTAACTAACTAACTAACTAACTAACTACTAACTAACTAACTAACTAACTAACTAACTAACTAACTAACTAACTACTACTAACTAACTAACTAACTAACTAACTAACTAACTAACTAACTAACTACTAACTAACTAACTACTAACTAACTAACTAACTAACTAACTAACTAACTAACTAACTAACTAACTAACTACTACTAACTAACTAACTAACTAACTAACTAACTAACTAACTAACTAACTAACTAACTAACTAACTAACTACTAACTAACTAACTAACTAACTAACTAACTAACTAACTAACTAACTAACTAACTAACTAACTAACTAACTAACTAACTAACTAACTACTAACTAACTAACTAACTAACTAACTAACTAACTAACTAACTAACTAACTAACTAACTAACTAACTAACTAACTAACTACTAACTAACTAACTAACTAACTAACTAACTAACTAACTAACTAACTAACTAACTAACTAACTAACTAACTAACTAACTAACTAACTAACTAACTAACTACTAACTAACTAACTAACTAACTAACTAACTAACTAACTAACTAACTAACTAACTACTAACTAACTAACTAACTAACTAACTAACTAACTAACTAACTAACTAACTACTAACTAACTAACTAACTAACTAACTAACTAACTAACTACTAACTAACTAACTAACTAACTAACTAACTAACTAACTAACTAACTAACTAACTACTAACTAACTAACTAACTACTACTAACTAACTAACTAACTAACTAACTAACTAACTAACTACTAACTAACTAGCTAAAAGTAGGTCATATTTGAGAAAAATGCATTAAGTTTAAGCAAAAGTCCCACTGTACACTGCAATGCCTATAATAAATATGTTAATATAATTTTATTTAAAAAAACAAATCAAAACAATATTTACTTTGGTATATCAATAATAAGCAGGTTAAATGAATATAATTTACCGGTTTTCTTTATCATTTATTTATTGTTTTCTCCTAAAAAGAGAATAAATATATCAATCAATACATTAATAACTTTTCATTATTATGCAAATGCAAACGAACATTTTTCGTTGAGTGTTCAAATATGTTTCAACAGATCTTTTAAACTTTGGCTCAATGTTCATAGTTGGTGTAGAAAAAAAAAAGCTTTTTCTCGCTGCTGTTGTTGTTGTTGTGAGTATTGGTGCTGATGGCTTGTTAGCTTGGCCCCATACTTACTACCTGTTTAGTGGGTTTAAGCCCAGCTTATACGAAAACCTGCCAACAATATGTGTGTTTGATAAAAAAAATACAAAAACAACTCTGTGTGATATCCATATCTACAGCAGCGGCAGTTACTCGTAAAAAGCGAAGCAACGACGATACTTGGCTCTAAAATACAAAATTTCTTGTCTTCAGTTTTTCATAGTCGTTGCTAGCGTGAATAACTGCAATTTGAAAATTTTGTAGAAGAAAACTAAACAAAATTACATAGAAAATTAAAAAAAAATATATATACAAAAACAAAAGTGCGCTTAAAACGAAACTATTAAAAGAAAAACAAAAAATATACATATAATAGACTTAAGAGAGTGAAATTACGGGTTTTTATTTCTATGGCAAGAAAATTTTGAAAAAAAATATAAAATTAGTTTGATCATTGTTGTTGCTTTAACGAGAAAAAAAAGCTGTGAAAAATAAATTAAAGAAAATTTACACATAAAATATCTAATAAATAAATTTAAACGAAAAAAAAAAATTAAGCAACATTTAAGATAAATCAAATCCAGGAAAAATATTGGAAATAAAAAACAAATTCAATTAAGTAAAACGTATGTGTAATGAGTAGTTTTTAAAGAAAAATATTTAATTTAATCTTAATTTATTACATACATTTACAATAATATCTTTAATCTGTTGAATTTTGTACGAGAGATCTTTAGCTGATTTAAAAAATAACAACAACAATGTCATCTATCTGTCATTGGCATTTTATCTTAAGCACTACATTCTCAAATATTTATTTATTTATTGGTTACAAGAAACGAATGATTGAGTAAATAAATGAATTTCTGCAAAACTATTTTGACAGAAAGATCGTACGAATAACGATTAACCGTTTAGTTTTAGATTTTTTCCTTTATTAGACAGTTCTTTAAGGAATGAATTAGCCTTTGCCCAGATTTTCTCCTCCAAACTTTAGGTATTTTTTACTATTCAAAACTTCCAAAACATACATATTTATTTTATGACACATTTATAAGTTTCTCTTTTTCATTATTTTAAAACGTTTAAAAATTCACCTCAAATAATTTTGAATTCAAAATTATGCAAATTATAATTTTGGTTTTAAGTCGTCTTTTTTTTTTTTTTGTTGCTTAAACATAAAATTATTTCCGTATTTAAACACGATCTTCTCATTTATAAAACATTATTAATTTAAAGGAAATTTTAACAAAAAAATCTATTAAACATTAGTTTTTTTTGTTCAACAAGGTCAATAATAATATATTTATGTTTAAGTAATTTGAAACGTGTATTTAAAAAAAAGATCATAAAATAAACTGACAGAAATAAAATTTAGGAATTTTTCATTTAAATTAAAAATATAATTAGAATAATTAAAAAAGTGTAATAAAATTTAATTACTTTAATTGAAATAAATAATTACTGAACTTTGGAAAGTGAACAAAAAAATAATTTTCTCCAATTTCGAGGGACTTCAATTAATTGTCTCCAGTATATGATATTGATGATAAATAAGGTTAAACGTTTTATCCTATGGACTAGTCTATAGACTATTCTATGGACTATTCTATGGACTAGTCTATAGACTAGTATATAGACTATTCTATGGACTAGTCTATAGACTATTCTATGGACTCGTCTATAGACTATTCTATGGACTAGTCAATAGACTATTCTATGGACTAATCTATAGACTATTGTATGGACTAGTCTATAGACTATTCTATGGACTCGTCTATAGACTATTCTATGGACTAGTCAATAGACTATTCTATGGACTAATCTATAGACTATTGTATGGACTAGTCTATAGACTATTCCATGGACTAGTCTCTAGTCTATTTAATGGACAAGTCTATAGACTATTTAATGGACAAGTCTATAGACTATTCTTTGGACTAGTCTATAGACTATTCTATGGACTAGTCTATAGACTATTCTATGGAATGGTCTATGGACTATTCTATGGTCTAGTCTATAGACAATTCCAAGGTCTAGTCTATAGACGACTCTATGGTCTAGTCTATAGACGACTCTATGGTCTAGTCTATAGACTATTCTACGGACTAGTCTATAGACTATTCTACGGACTAGTCTATAGACTATTCTACGGACTAGTCTATAGACTATTCTACGGACTAGTCTATAGACTATTCTACGGACTAGTCTCTAGACTATTTAATGGACAAGTCTATAGACTATTCTTTGGACTAGTCTACGGACTAGTCTATAGACTATTCTGTGGACTAGTCTATAAACTATTCTACGGACTAGTCTATAGACTATTCTACGGACTAGTCTATAAACTATTCTACGGACTAGTCTATAGACTATTCTACGGACTAGTCTATAGACTATTCTGTGGACTAGTCTATAGACTATTCTGTGGACTAGTCTATAGACTATTCTGTGGACTAGTCTATAGACTATTCTATGGACTAGTTTATAGACTATTCTATGGACTAGTCTATAGACTATTCTATGGACTAGTCTATAGATTATTCTATGGACTAGTTTATAGACTATTCTATGGACTAGTCTATAGACTATTCTATAAACTAGTCTATAGACTATTCTATGGACTAGTCTATAGACTATTCTATGGACTAGTCTATAGACTATTCTATGGACTAGTCTATAGACTTTCTATGGACTAATCTATAGACTATTTAATGGACTAGTCTATTGGCTATTCTATGGACTAGTCTATAAACTATTCTATGAACTAGTCTATAGACTATTCTATGGACTAGTCTATAGAATATTCCATGGACTAGTCTACATACTATTCGTTGGACTAGTTTATAGACTATTCGATGGACTAGTCTATAGACTATTCTATGGATTAGTCTTGAGAATGTTCTATGGATTCTTCTTTAGACTATTCTATATATTAGTATCTAGACTGTTATCTGGATATGTCAATAGACGGTTTTATGGACTAGTCTATTCTGTTGTTTAATTTTATTAACTAGTTTATGTACTATTCTATGAAATTATAAATTATTAAATTTTTCTCGAATGAGTAAATTCCTTTAAATCCCTGTCTAATTTGCCATCAAGTATCTAAGTATCCACTTATTTTGCCTATAGTTTCTTGTCTTGGGGTTTTTGTTGTGTTTCTTTTCGCCTTCTCTAGTAGTTTTTACAATTCATTCGTTGATTGCAAAAGTGTTTTTTTCTTTTTGTATTTTGTTTTAAATTTTCTGTTAGTTTTTTCTTTTAATTTCAATTTAATTTAAGAAAAATAGCAATTACAACAAAAGCAAGCAAGAAAAATTCACACACATACACACAGGTTTTTATATATATATTTTTTTTGTTTTTCTTTGGTTTTTTCTCTATTTTGGTTTTGGTTGATCGATGACAAAATGTTCGTTCATTTGGCTGAGTAAAAAGAAAAATGAGTGGAAGTGTAAAAATTGTTTTTATTTATTTTGTATTCTGCTATTGTTGTTATTGTGGCTGGAGTAAAAAAAACAAAACTTTTTCTTTTTTTACTTGTTTATGTTTTTTAACAGTTTCTTTTAATATTACAAACATTTATTGCCATTTTACTTGGTGTTTTTGTTGTTTAAACAATCACTGAACATAATTATCATGTAAAAAAGTAACAACTACAAAAAAATTTAAACAACACTTTCTTGTCTTTAACGGAGAGTAAGAGAGAAAAAAGTGTTTTTAACAGCAACAACAACAATTGACAGGTAAACGAAAGAGGTATTGTGTGTGTGTTATTAAAGGGATTAGCAAAAAAAAATTAAAGAAAAGAAATTGCGAATATTAGTATAAACATAAATATTGTCGGTATGTACCCTGCAGTTGAGAGGGGGCTGTCCCCAACTAGTAATTTTAAAACTGATTACAGTTTAATTCTGTAATACTTCTGTCAATGGAGTAATCAATAGACTAAGTACAAAGAGTTCATATTATCTAGTCTCTGACCTTGTCTCAAGCCTGATCTATGAATTAGTTTGAGGACTAGTCAATGTTCTATTATTGCATGTACTAGGATGTATGAATTATTTATAAGTCCACTGACTAGTATATTGACTGATCTCTTGACTTGTTAATGGATTGTTTGTTGTTTTGCCTATGGAATAGTCTTTGGTCTTTCAACTATTATAAGGGCTTGTTTGATTAGTCAATCTTGTTTGATTAGTCAGTCTATGTGGCAGTCTATTAAACAGCCGATGGGCTCGTCCATTGACTTATCTATGGAATGTCATTAAACTAGCCTTTGGCTAGTTCAATAATAATGTACTCTTCGTGTCAACCAAGTAACTAAACATTTGGAAGAATCTGTATAAAAGTAGATTGACATCTATCAAAACTACGGGGCCTATTTTACACATTTCTCTTCCAGTGTTGACTATATAATTTAACAATGACAATCAGTATAATAGACTTTGAACATTAACTCAACTATAGAATTTCAGAATTTCAATGTAATTCATCACATCTTTCACTTCCTTTTGGCAGGAAAATGAAAAAAAAAAAAAGAAAACTGCAGTTTATAAATAAATATAGTAAATGTAGACTTTATTATTATAACCAAGTTTCACTGTCATTATCTTACATTTTTTTCATCAACTTTTTTCTTTAAATAAAACATTACTGTCAGTGGTGTTATTATCGTATAAACTTAAAAAGATAATTGAATTGTTAATAAACGTATTAAATGGCAAATTCATAAAGAAAAAAACTGCTTATCATTGTTCTTAATTTCAAAAAAAAAAATTACTAAACGTATGTATAACGATACTTAAGATCAGTGTTAAAAACACATGATCTTTTGTTAAAGAAATTTTAATTTTAAATGTTCCGCATTCCGCCGATGTTTTTTTTTTTATTTTTCAACTATTATTTATGAGTGATTTTATTATACTTTAGTTACGCATTGTAATTTACACGCAATGGTTTACTGGCATCAATTTTTTGAGTGTAGTTAATATTGGTATTTAAAGAAAAAAAAAAAACAACGGAAATATTATGGTTTTAAAATATTATTAATTACATATTTATTAATAATATAAGTATGTTATTTACTTCCGATGGCTAAAGTTTGATTTTATAATTAATTACATATGTATGTATATGTTTTCTTATTTTAATTATGATTGCAGTAATTATAAAGGAGTGTCTGGTAATTTCTCCAAATACTATTTTATATTAAAAGTCTTTTTAATACTAATATATAAATTGTATATTTTGATATCCAAAGAGTATCTTTTAATATGTTGTTATATAATGTTTTGCAAATAATCTCCAACTGGGGATCTTGTTTTTGCCAATAGCAATAAACATATAGAATTTATTGTTTAGAAAAAATAAGTTAATAGTTTTTTAATACCTATTGGTATTTATAAATAAATATATAGTAATTGTTTTAACTTAATAATTAATACAATTATAATTGCAAATAATTAATTCCACATTAGACTTTAAAAATAAATCATATAAACTGCGCGTGGTGTTATCTGACAGGCGATTTGAGTGATTTGAGTAATTTTGAAATTCTTGTTAATGTAATTATAAGTTGACAACACTTTACGCAACATTTGGGTAAGCATTTTGAAGTTAT